CCGGCCTGCCCGCCTGGGGTGTCGCCACCCGGGACGGCCCCGCCTGGAGGCTCTGCGCTCCGGCCGCGACTAGGGGTCCCGGACGCCCCCCGCTGCGGCTCCCCCGCGCGCCGGCACACTCTGCCCTGGGCCTCCGCCCCTTCCCTTCTCCTTTCCTCGCCCGCCGGCCTCCACTCTCCTTTTCTCCTTTCTCCTCCCCTTCCCTCCCCTTCCAGGCCCCCGCCCGCTACCACTCGGTCAGTTTACTGCGGGACGGGGCGGGGCGAGCTCCCTGCCAGCCAGCTCCGCCCCGCGCGGGGACCCGCCGCGACGCCGCAGCCTGAGGGCGCCCAGGTGCGAGTCCCTTCCGGCGGACCTGGGGATTTCGAAATCGCTGGGTAGGGGCTCCTCGGCTTTCTTAGCAAGCTGTCGCTGCGGGCAGGGGGCGGGGCACGCTCCTTTAGGCAAACCGAGATTCCTTCGGGGCAAAGGCGGTGGCCGGACTTCAGGAGCGAGAGCAGGTACTGTGGGACCTGGTGGTGATCCTCGCTTCCTCCCGAAGCCGCCCGGCCAGCCCGCGCTCGAGGTGGACCGGAGGCGCCTGCGCGGGTCACCGCAAGACGACACGCTTCGTGGGGAAGGGAGGGCGCCTGAGGCGGGGAGGCGCGCGCAAACCTCACATTTTACTCATAAACGTTTTGCCCTTTTCAGGGATTCGAGGCTGGCCAATACGTCGCTGTTCTTCGTTTTTCTTAAACTCAGTACACTGGCGGCTTCCATGAAGCCAAACTGATAAGCTCAAAAGCAGACGCGCAGGCTTTTACCGTATTCTTTACCTCTGAGCTGGACTGGAAATTGCCAGTAAGGGGTGGGAGGTGTACCCCAGTCAGGTCGTGCGAATGACCAGGTGGGCTCGGGCTGAGCCACGACGAATGGTCTGTAAGCAATAGGAGAGCAGGCATCTTTCACAAAGAAAGAAATAGTAACAGTATAGTACCTAATACTTAAGGAGCCCTGGTGGCGCAGTGGTTAAGAACTCGGCAGCTCACCATAAAGACTGGCAGTTCGAATCCACCAGCTGCTCCTTGGAAACCCTATGGGGCAGTTCTACCCTGTCCTATAGGGCCGCTATGAGTAGAAACGGCAATGAGTTGTTGTTTTTTCGGTTTACCTAATACCCAGAGCGCACTGTGAACCAGGCACTGTTCTAAATGCTTTGCCCATATTAATTGATTTAATCCTCCTGACGACCTTATTGTTTGTTACCCAGATCAAGAAACTGAGGCACATAGGAGTTAAGTTGCCCGAGGAAGTGACAGAGCTGGGATGCCTTGTCCAAAAGTTCAAAATGGCTTGACTAAGAACAGAAGCAGGAAACCTATAGAGCAAAGTGGTCTGACCTTTGCATGTCAGAACCAGTTGGAAGGATGGCTAGGAGGGCCAGGTAGGGGGTAAAGCTGAAGCAGTCCACAGTAAGCTCCAAATTTCACTGAAGGCCAGCATTTCATCCTTAAACTGCAAGCAAGTATCATTCTACTCCGTAATATCCCCATGTTTGTTCTGACATAGAAGCTATGCTTGTCCCCAAACATTTTCCGTGAAACTGGTACTGCAGA